TTGGGTCATTATCAGACCGGTTCAGTTTATTTGGGCACAAAAATTACTCCAATAAGGTATATGAGTATAAACTGTTCCCTAATTTTGGTTGAGAAGTTTCTGGAGAGTATTTTTCTAAAAAATATTCTTAAGGATAACTCAACAACACTACGCCGGACAACGCGTTGCAGATAAAGACTCGACGCCAACAATCAATGGTCAGCTAAAGATTAGAAAGTCAGGAATCGACTTCAAGTTTAAAATTCCGACAATGGTCAGACAATTAAATGCAGCACCGGAACTCTTACAGACATTCGACAAAGCACCGAATAGCCTGAAGAATTGAAGGAATCAAGACGGGAAGTTCATTCCAATGCGACCTTGTACCCTTTACACCGACTGAAGGGTGGGGGAACCAATTCATATCCAAAGTTATCTCCAGGACTCCTCTAAAAAGGAACCCGAGCTTTGAATTTTGGAGGGGGGGTATCTGTTAGGCATATAAAAATTGCTTATAGGGTCCCTTGGCACAGCTCGGCACAAAACCGACGACCAACCGAGGCGACGAGATCGACGGAATCACACGTAAGCCACGCGAAACATCCATTCCGCACTATGGAATACCAGCCAATATGTGTTTGAAGAGTCAACGAGTCATCCACGATCGAATTATCAAGATCAGTTTCGGACTGCGAACTCAGAAGTGGGATTTTTACTGGCCTTAATCAGGATCTGGATTTACGCCAAATCAGATTCAAACAAATCAGAAGTCTAATTCAACCGAATCAACGGATCAGAACCGAGAGAGACGGACCACAACGGAAAAACGACGGAAACAAATGCGGCCTTAAGGGGGTCGGGCCAGTTGCGGCCACCTATAGGTGGCCGACACTATTCCGTGCGCGGGCACAGTAAAGAGAGCCTATAAATAGGCCAAGGGTTGTTCATTTTCAAAGGTTGGACTTTTGAGAGCCGAAACTCTGCCGGATTGAAGATCGAGCTTAGAGTTTTGAAGACTTGAAGACTTGGACATCCAGATCTGATCCTCGGCGAGCATCCACGTCACAAAAGGCAGGAGTTCGAGAGAGGGGAAGAACAGATCTGAGATCTACACGAGATCACACTCCGGATCTAAGCTTGGTCTTAGATCCCGAGATCCGAGCGATTATTTCCTTAGTGAACTAATCCCTCCCGGCTATTATTCCCTTCGTGGAATAATACCCATCAAATCGTGTAGATCCGACCGGATCTAGATCGCGCGGTGGTCCACGGATTAACCCCGGCGTTGGCAAAGAACCCACAAAAGCGAGTGACCACAAAACAGGAGCTCGCGATTTGTTCACAAGGAGAAAGTTGTAATTTTCTTTTTATTTTCTTTGATTTCGTTGTAACCGGATCTAAAAAAGACCGGATCTTTTGTAACCACAAAAAGTTGTTATTTTGAGATCACAATGACATCAATGAAGAAAACGATTTTCCCCGCGAACAATTACGATCTACGGATTTAACACCAGTGGGTCCAGACCATTGGGTAAAATTCGAGTGAAGTGTCAGATTGGGGATTTGAAGTCGAAAGTCACGTGTTATGTGATTGACGCAGAGACTTCCTATAACCTACTGTTGGGTCGATCCTGGATCCACGGTAATGTTATAGTCCCCTCTACCCTCCATCAATGTCTCAAATATGTGGACATTAATAATAAAGTCAAGACGGTGGTCGCGGATAAGCAACCGTTTAAGGGGTTGGAAAATTATTTTACCGACTCCCTTCTCTACGGTGCCGAATCCAATACTGAACCATCGGCCCAAGGAACAGACATCAGGGAAGAGGCT